GCAGGGATCCATCTAGTCCTGAGCTTTTCTTTGTTGCAACAGTATTACTGTTTCAATCTCATTGCTTGTAATTGATCTGTTTAAGTAGTTTAAATCCTCTTTGTTCAATTTTGGTAGGTCACATGCATCTAGAAATTTATCTATTTCTTCTAGACTTTCTAGTTTATTAGAATGTTTTTAAAGTGTTCCCTAATGATCCTCTTTTGTTTTCTTATGATATCATTTTCTTATCTCTAATTTTATTAATTTGAGTCTTCTCCCTTTTTGGTTAAGGGTTTATCAATGTTGTTTATCTTTTCTTTAAAAAAATTTTTTTGAGACAGGGTCTCACTATGTAGACCAGGCTGGCCTTGAACCCACAGTCCTCCTACTACAGTCCCACTCCTACTTCAGAGTACTGTGATTTCAGGCATGTCACCATACCTGACTTCTTATTTATCTTTTCAAAGAATCAATTTTTTGTTTCATTGATCCATATAGCTATACATATGTATATACATATAATTTTTTTTTAGTAGTACTTGGGCTTGAACTCAGGACCTCATGCTTGCTAAGTAGGCACTCTACCACCTAAGTCACTCCACCAGCCCCTTTATATTGTTTTTCTAGTCTCCATTTTATTAATTTCTGTCCCAATGTTTATTATTTCTTTCCACCTGCTAATTTTGTGTGTGAGCGGGGCTTGAATTGAGGGTTTTGCACTTGTAAAGCAGGCGATCTACCACTTGAACAACACCTCCAGTTCATTTTGCTTTAGTTATTTTGAAGATGGGAGCCTTATGACCTATTTGCTTGTGCTGGCCCCAAACCATGATCCTCCAGATTTCAGCTTCCCAAGTAGCTAGGATTACAGGCATGAGCCACGGTGCCTGATTCTACCTGCTTAATTTTGTGTTTGGCTTGTTCTTGTTTTTCTAAAAGCATTTAGTTATTTATTAGACATCTCTTTGATTTTTTTTTTTTTGGTGGTATTGGGGTTTGAACTCAGAGCCTCATGTTTGCTACGCAGGTGCTCTACCCCTTGAGCCACCTCACCAACCCATTTTTATGTTGGGTATTTTCAGGACAGGGTCTCACAAACTATTTACTTGGGCTGCCTTAGAACCTTGATCTCTCCTCCCCACCCCCTCGCTACCAGGTAGAAACTATTTTGCCCTTATCTCTAATTTTGTTGAAGAGAGAGTATAAGCAATAATAGGAAGGACCAAGGCTTTTTGCTAGTTGAGATAAGGATAGCTATACAGGGAGTTGACTCGCATTGATTTCCTGTGAACCAACCTTTTCTCTAGTTCCTGGCTCCCTTCTCCTATTGGTTCAGTTGCTTTAAAGTATCTGCATTAGTTTCTCTGTGTTGAGGGCAACAAACGCTATCTAGTTTTTTGGGTGTCTTACCTATCCTCATACATCCCTTATGTGCTCTCGCTTTATCATTGAATCAAAGTCCAATCCCCTTGTGTTTTTAATGTAGGTACTCATAACTATCAACTTTCCTTTTAGAAGTGCATTTGCAGTATTCCAAAGGTTCTGGTAAGTGTGCTTTCATTTTCATTTGATTCTAGTTTTTATTTTTTATTTTGCTCCTTATTTCTTCAGTGACCCACTGGTCATTAAGTAGTGTATTTTTCAGTCTCATGTGTTTGAATATTTTCTGTAGTGTCTTTGCTATTGATTTTCTAGTTTTATTCCATTGTGGTCTGATAAAATACAGTAGGTAATTTCAATTTTCTTGTGTTTTAAAAAAGAGTTTATATCCTAAAATAACCATATTAGAGAAAGTTCCATGGACTGCTGAGAAGAATGTGTATTGTGTACCTGTTTAATGAAATATAGTAAGTCCATTTGATTATATTGTCATTACATTCTGAAATTTCCTTGTTGATTTTTTTGTCTGAATAACCTGTCTATTGGTAAGAGAGGGACATTGAAGTTACCTACTATTATTGTGTTGGGAGTCTTCCTGTGATTTTATGTTCAGTAGTATTTGTTTTATGAAATTGAATGCACCAGCCAGGCACTGGTGGCTCACACTTGTAATTCTTGCTGGTTGGGAGGCTGAGATTGGGGAGGATCAAAGTTCCAGGTTAGCCTGGGCAAATAGATTGCAAGACCGCATCTCCAAAAAATTAACCAGAGTAAAACGGACTGGAGGTGCGGTTCAAACAGTAGAGGGCCTACTACTTTGTGAGCGTGAAGCCCTGAGTTTAAACCTGTTTAGACACGGCTGGGTTATGGTTTATTTTCTCATCACTAGACTGGTGGTGGAGCTTAGTAGTCAAACAGTTGCCCTGCCATGCTCAAGACACAGGATCCAGCCCCCTACCCCACTCAGGGGGAAGAAGAAGAGCTACAGAAGCAATCACAGTTGCTAGACACATGCTAGAACACACACCACCACTGCTCTAGTATCTTTGGGGTAATAAAGGAGAAAGATAATACTTCATGAACTAGGAAGACCTCAGTTAATAAGAACATTAAAGGGAACGGCCAGGTGCCTGTGGCTCACGTCTATAATCCTAGCTACTCAGGAGGCAGAGATCAGGAGAATCGCGGTTTGAAGCCAGCCTGGGCAAACAGTTCATGAGACCCTATCTCAGTACAACCCACCACAAAAAAAGGGCTGGCAGAGTGACTCAAGGTGTAAGCCCTGAGTTCAAACCCCAGTACTCAAAAAAAAAAAAAAAAGAAGACAAAGGCAAGAACAAGTAGTATATATTTTATTTGTTGTTGGGGAAGGGGAAGCAATTGGCTTCCTCTCTCTACCAGTGCAGGTTTTTGGGGTCTTTTTAAAAAATTCTTCTTTAGATCTGAACCAGTTAGGATATTAAGGGCTGTCTGGTTTGGAGATTTAGGTCAGTGGCGGAGTAGCCACTCATGCCTGTAGGCTCTGAGCCATGGCCCCCAAAACAGAAAGTAGACTTCAAATTCTGTTTGTAAGTTCCTATGCTGGATCCTAGGAGCTGAGCTTCTTCCTATCTGCCCAGATTCTAGCTTTATTCCCCACTTGACCTGTGGAATCCTCTAAGTCTCTCATAGCCCCAGAAACTCACAGGCTGTTTTTTTTCTCAACTTGGTTTCCAAGTCAGTGTTGGGCTTGATTTGCTATCATACCCGAAAAGGTTCATGTGGAGATTTCTGTGATGTGCCTGGGGCTAGGGACAGAGTTGTGTTGGTAATTAGGGCTCCGTCTTTGGACTCTCAAGGGTTTCCTTGATGTGGTTGGTACGGTCCCATTGGTTGGAAGGTCCCTGCTTCAGAGCTAGCCACTGTGCTCCAGCAGTCCCACTTGACTCAGCACACTCCCTCTTAGTTGCTTCTGGACTCCAAGTTCATTTTGTGCCCACAGTCACTCATCACTGTGACACAATGCTGGTGTCCCCAAATATACAGTTCCACAAGTCCTAATTTCCTTAGCTCTTCTGTTCAGCTTCTTGTGCAAACAGCTGTTCAATTTGGAGTGTATGTGGGGAGAGAAGCTGGGAGCTATTACTCACCACCATCTTTTCTACCTTATTTGTTTCAATGACAGCTTGGATGCCTATCATGTATCAGGGATGTTTTAAGTCCTTAGAGGCTCTAGATATTTTAATTGTTATAAGCCCCCTCCCTTCATTATATCTAACATGCTAAAATGTACCCATATCAAATATAATTTACATATGAATTGAAGATGAACTTGTTTTTAAATTCATTTAAGCTTATTACGTTTAATTGTTTTCAGAGCTTAGTTGTTTTGGTTTTTGGAACATGGGTTCACTATGTAGCCCAGACTGGCCTCAAAACTGTGAGCCTCCTGCATTAGTTTCCTTAAAGGTTAAGATTACGTGCTGGGTGATTTTGTCAGGGTTTAAAATATTTCATAAACAAACATATATTTCAGGTTTCTAACTTTCACAGACCCCAGGAAAGATCTGATGCTTTAGAAATTGTGCATAAAATGAATAAAAATGGTCTATGTACTCAGTACTGTGCTAGATATTTCTGATAGGAAGGGTTCCTACTGTTACTCTGGAATGTATCATTCATCTCCACATCTTTTCTTTCATGTTCTCATCCCAGACCTTTTCATAGTAGTCTTTTTTCCCATTATTATGCCAGGGGTACATTGTGACATTTATAAAAGTTCTTGCAATATATCACAGTTGAATTCACCCTCTCCATCATTCTCCTTTATCTTTCCTCCCCTGATTCCTGGAATAGTTTCAATAGATCTCATTTTTTCATTTTCATACATAAGTACATAATATTTCCACTGTATTTACCCTCTTACACCTTTTCCTTTTATTCTCCCCTCCCACTGGTACTAACTCCCACACAAGACCTATTTTGTGTTCCTGTTCTCCATTTTTTAAAAAAATGACATCTTTGTTGTTTAAGATAGCTATACTGGGTGTTTCATTGTGATATTTCCATGTTCATAGTAGTCTTAAATTTATATACTCATATTTTTTTGAGATGGGGTCTCACTAATGTTGTCCAGACTGTTTTTGAACCCTGAGCATGTGATTCTCCTGCTTTAGTCTCCTCCGTGCTGAGATTACAGGTGTGTGCCACCACACGTGGCTGTTCTTACTATCAATTCATTATTTTACTTTGTTTTATAGCTCATTTATTTTCTGGTGAACACTTTCATTAGGTTGAAACTTTTAAATGAGACAAAGTGTAGTACAAAAGTAATTGTGTTCCAGTTTGAAACAAAATTCATGTTTCAAACATATAACTTTTATACACATCAGATAAAATATGGCTACTTCTCTGAGTGTTTGCTCAGATGTCTAGCTGACTTTGTTGAATTTTTGCCTAATTTATTCCGGGCCCACATAAGTCAATCACTACTTTGTTAATCTGTTACTGTGTATTTTTTAAAAACTCACAGAATATTCAATGTTAGGTCTATGTGAAATTGTGAGGAGCCAAAGAAAATTGCAGTGATAAGGGCTTGCTTGAAGAGATTTTTATTGTATCATCCCTGATGTGTTAAATATCTTTCATCTTGTTTGCAGAGTGTTTTGGAAATCAAAAAAAAGGCATATTAAAAAATCGACATTTGAGTCAGTATATGAGAAAAAACATAAGGATATGCCACATCGTATCCCCATAAGAAAGCGTTTTAGAAAGAAAAAGTCAACAATACTGGAAGACAAAGATTATAATGAGCAGCAGGATGAAGATGGAACGATCACATTTCCCTGTTCGGTGTGCAACCAGGAAATTGCCATAAGTAATAATTTTCTCCATAAGAAACAACACGAAGCTTTGGCTACACTGGGTTTCCAATGGATGGGTAGAAAGAAACCACATCCCGTCATGATTGCAGTTCAGAGACAGTTTATAATTTCTAAAATGCTATCATCTTTTATGTTCACTGAGGCAATACTACAGAACATTAATAATTCTTTTGAGTTGCTTTCCAAGAAACAAATACCAGGATACCATTATAAGATTTTTGATAGCCTTGGCAAGAGTTCCATCCATTCTCAAAAAATCTGTCATGTATTAATTAAAGGTGTAGCCACCTGTGGAGACAGGAATTCTACATGGAGAGCTGAAATGAATGATAAATTCACTATAATGAATTATTTTGGCAATAAGCCCAATGTGTGCTTTTTTGGTTTGTTTGATGGACATCATGGTGCCTCAGCAGCAGAACTGGCATCAAAGGAACTCCCAGTTTTACTTCTCCATCAGCTTTCCAAATGTGATCCTTCCTTTGAAATGACACCAGAACAGCAACAGATAATCAATTCCTTTCGCACTGTGTTCAGAGAAGAATACATAGCAATAGAAGACCTCTTCTCTTCAGCACACAAAGTGAGAAAAACACAGAAGCGTGGCCATGAGGATATGCACAAAGCCTTTGCAAAAGCATTTTGGAGAATGGATAGGCTCTTACGTCTTGGAAGAAAAGAAGTTTCTAGGGTTCGGTGGAGTGGCTGCTCTGCAGTTACTTGCATATTGGAAGGCAGCTTTAAAAATCCTTTTGTTAATGATAATTGGAGAGGAACCAACTTTGATACAAGAAGCTTCTCTTCTCAGATGACACCACAAATAATTTCTGGGGTGTTACACATTGCAAATGCTGGTATGTATAGTGAATAGTACTAGATAACACCTTCCTATTTTTTATTCCTGGCAGCAAAATTTCTCATGCTTCCAGAATTATTTAGTGGTTTATTACTTAGTATGACTTATTAAAGCCTAGAAATTGCATTGATTAATTTAAGAAACAAAAATTATCCACAGTTTAAGTATAGATTTCAGGCACAAAAATAATTGTAATTATTTTCCAAGGAGGTACAGATATAAAATAGTGTAATGAAACATTAAATTTTCTAAGTGAGGTAGCAAAAGAGATGTTACTAAAGATGAAAAAGTACTACACAATCTTAGCTCCAAACAAAAATGTAAAGCATCTAGCATACTTTCTTTTTTGAGGAGAATATAATATATTAATATATATTAATGTAATATTAATCTATATCATATATTAACATATTAATATTATATTAATATATGTTAATGTAATATATTAATATAGTTGTTCAAATTGGCCAGTGATTATAACTCAAGCATTTGTTTTTATTTTGTTGTTGAGACAGAGGTCTTGCGAGAGAGCCCAGGCTGGCCTCACACTCAAGGTGCTTCTGTTTCTGTCTCTTGAGTCACCAGGATGATAGGTGTGCACCACCACCTCCTGTTATATAATACATTTGTAATAGAGCATCCTCTTGTTCACTGGCCAAGAGGCATCAGTTTCATCTCAGAAAGAATAACAGTTCATGCTTCAGTTATATGTGGATATATTCTCTTCTTCTCAAACTTACATATTTTTTTACATTCACTCTTGTTTTGGCGGTACTGGGACTTGAACTCAGGGCCTCACACTTGCTAGGCAGGCATTCTACCACTTGAGCCTCTTCATCAGCCCCTGTTTTGGGTATTTTAAGATAGGGTCTCTCCAACTATTCGCCTGGGCTGGCTATGAACCTCAATCCTCCTGATCTCTGCCTCCTGAGAAGATAGGATTACAGGCATGAGCCATTGGCGCCTGGCCACAATCACTCTTTTTTATTAGTGTGTATTAATTGTACAAAGTGCTTTCATTGTGATATTTTCAAACATGCATATAATGTACTTTGATCAAACTTACCCCCTCTAGTATTCTTATTTTCTCGCTCCACCTTTAGAAATTGTTTAACAATTTTCATTACTCTATTTTCATACATGCACATGAAGTACTTCAATCTTATTCATCACCTATCGCCCTCTCCTTTCCACCCTCATTCTTCTATTGATCTTTCTCAGTCTGGCTTACTATACTTTTTTTTTGTGGTACTGGGGTTTGAACTCAGGGCCTACATCTTGAGCCATTCCACCAGCCCCCCTCCCCCCAACCCTTTATTTGTGATGAGTGTTTTTGAGATATGGTCAAATTATTTGCCCTGGCTGGCTTCGAACTGTGACCCTCCTGATCTCTGTCTCCTGAGTAGCTAGGATTACAGGCCTGAGTTATTGATGCCCAGCTGGCTTATTTCACTTAATATAATGTTTTCCACTTCCATGCAGTTTCCTGAAAATGATATAATTTCATTCTTCTTCAAGGTTGAATAATACTCCATTGTGTGTATGTATGTGTATATATATATATATGTATGTGTATATATATATACATACACATATATGACACTTTCCTTATCCATCAGTTGATGGACACCAAAGCTGATTCCATAAACATGGGTGCTGTAAACATGGGTGTGCAGGTATCTACTGTATGCAGACTTACATTCTTTCAGATACTTACCCTGGATTGGTGTAGTAGGTTCATGTGGTAGCTCTATTTTTATTTTTTGAGGAACCTCTATAATGCTTTCCATGGTGGCTGCACTAATTTACATTCCCACCAACAGTGTATTTTTTCCCAAATCCTCACCAATATTTCTTGTTGTTTGTTTTCTTGATGACAGTCATTCTGACTGGGGTGAGACAGACTCCCATGCTGTGATTTGCATTATCTTTATAGCAAAGGATGTTGAACATTTCTTCACAGGCTTATTGGTCATTTGTACTTCTTTTGAGAACTGTTTGATTCATTTGCCCATTAGTTGGAGTGTTTGTTTTTTCGGTGTTTAACTTATGGAGCTCTTCATAAATTTTAGGTATTAATCTTTTATCCGCTGAATAGTTTGCAAAGATTTTCTCCAATTTCGTGGGCTATCTCTTGATTCTTTTTTTTTTTTAATTCTAATCATTTAATGACAGGCCAGTTTTGATCAAACAACAGACAGATGAAAGAGTCATGTCTTGGAACCAGTCAGACCTCAGCTCCAGTACTGGCTCAGGTTAGGGGTGTGACCTTGGGCAAATTACCCTAATCTCTCCAGGCCTCAGTTTCTTCATCTGAGAAGACTGGAGGCAGCCTCTTCCTTTGTCTAGGACCAAAGAGTTGATGAACCAAAGACTTTCACAGTGCCTGGCACACAGAGAGAGCACCCCAAAACATTAGCAAGTTGTTACCAGTTAGGAGGACCACCCCCCCCACCCCCCGAAACCCAAAACACACGAAGCAAACTCTTGAGCGGACAGCACAAAGAAAGCACTTCAATTCTAAAACGGTCTCTCGGACGGCAGGCTCTTCCTCCACCAGTTACTCGAATGAATGAGCGCTCAGGGGCCTCTCTGCAAATAGCTCTCTCTTAAGAATTACCTCTTCTGATGAAGGTAACTGTCTTTCACCGTCAATTAAACACCACGAGTGCACCGGGCCGGCGCGAGGCGCCCCCGTCCCACCGTCTCCTCCCCCTCAGCTCTATCTCTTGATTCTGATGATTGCTCCCTTTGCTGTGCAGAAGCTTTTTGATTTGATGCAATCCCATTTGTCAATTCTTGCCTTTTTTCCTGAGCAATTCGAGTCCTACTCAGAAAGGTGTTGCCTATGTCCATTTCTCGAAGGGTTATCCTATATTTTCCTGTACTAGTTTCAAGGTTTTAGGTCTTACAATTTGATGCATTTTGGTTAATTTTTGTACAGGATAAGTGATCGGTTTCTAGCCTCAGTCTTATACACATGGGTGTCAAGTTTTCCTGGTACCATTTGTTAATCAGGCTGTCTTTTCTCCAACATATGTTTTTGGCATCTTTAGCAAGAGTCAGATGGCTGTAGCTGTTTTTGAATCTCTGAGTCTTTTATCCTACTGGTCTACATGTATCTTTTTCCCCTTTGGTAGGAATGGGGTTTGAACTCAGAGCTTCATGCTTGCCAAGCAGGCGCTCTACCACTTGAGCCACACCTCCAGTCCATTTTGCTCTGGTTATTTTGGTGATGGGGGTCTCACGAACTATTTGCCTGGGTTGGCCTTCTTCCTAATCTCCACCTCCCATGGAGATAGGATTAAAGCCATGAGCCACTTATGCAAGGCTTCATTAGCTATTTTTGAGATAGGGTCTCACTTTATGTCTAGGCTGGCTTGGACTGCAATCCTCCTGTGTAGATGGGATGATAGGCATGTATCACCATGCCCAATTGGTTGAGATGGAATCTCTTGAACTTTTTTTGCATGGGCTGGTCTTGAACAATGATCCTTCTAAACTCTCTCTCCCAAGAAGTCTGTAGTATACATTGAAGTCAGGTGTTGTGATACCTCCAGCATTGATCTTTTTGCTCAGTATTGCTTTGGCTCTTGGGGGTCTTTTTTGCTTCTGCATGAACTTTAGGAGTGATTCTTCTATTTCTATGAGAAATGATATTGAGATTTTGATGTAACTTGCATTGAATATGTTGACTGTTTTTGGCAGGATAGCCATTTTCACACTATTAATTTTGCCAATTCCATGAATATGGAAGTCTTCTAGTGCCTTTAATTTCTTTTCTCAAGGTTTATAGTTTTCACTGTAGAGGTTTTTCACCTTCTTTCTTAGGTTTATTCCCAAGTATTTAATTTGATTTTTTGTTTGTTTGTTGGTACTGGGGTTTGAACTCAGGACCTCACCCTTGCTAGACAGGTGCTCTACCACTTGAGCTATTCCTTTAGGCCCCAAGTATGTATGTATGTATGTATTGCAGTACTGGTTTGAACTCAGGGCCTACTCCTTGAGCCATTCCACCAGCCCTTTTCTGTGAAGGGTTTTTTTGAGATAGAGTCTTGAGAACTACTTACCTGGGCTGGCTTTGAACCTTGATTCTCCTGATCTCTGCATCCTGAGTAGTTAAGATTACAGGTGTGAGCCATTGGCACCTGGCCTCCCAAGTATTTAATTTGTTTTGAGGATATTGAGATTGGCACTGTTTTCTTGATTTCTTTTTTAGTCTGTTTGTTATTGGTGTATAGAAAATCTACTGATTTTTGTATGTTGATTTTGTATGCTGCTAGTTTGCCAAAAGTGTCATCAGATCTAGGTGCAGATTTCTTCCAGCAAAAAAAAATCTGCAAATAGGGATAATTTGACTTCTTTCTTTCCTATTATTATATCTTTTATTTCTTTCTCTTGCCTTATTGCTCTGGCTAGGAATTTAAGCACTATCTTGAATAAGAGTTACAGACCTTACTGAAAATGGTTTCACTTTTTCCCCATGTAGTACAATGTTGGCTAAAGGTTTATTCTGTGTAACCTTTATCATGTTGAGGAAACTTCTTTCTGTTTCTACTTTCTTTAGGGGTTTTATCATGAAGGCATGTTGCCTTTTGTTAAAGGCCTTCTCTGCATGTATTGAAATGATCATGTGATTTTTGTCCTTTGGTCTGCTTATGTGCTGTATTATGTTTAGTGATTTCAGATGTTGAACCATCCTCACAGCCATGGAATGACAGCAACTTGATCATACTGTTTGATCTTCTTAATACATTATTGAATTCAGTTTGCAAGTATTTTATTGAGATTTTTTCAACTATATTTATCAAGGAATTGGTCTATAATTTTCTTTGTTGGGAGACTCATTCCTACTTAAAGTTCATTGGTTGTTTCAGATCATTTTAGGTAGTTCATATCCTCTTGGCTCAATTTGGTAGGTCATAAGCATCTAGAAGTTTTCCATTTCTCCTAGATTTCCCAGTTCTTTAGAACATAAGTTTCTGTAGTCCCTCATGA